CCATCTGGCGGAGTCAGGTTAGTAAAAATGTATATAACAAATCAATTTAAACAATGAATGTAAACATTTCTGTCCAGAAAGTTTCCCATCATAGCCTGCAACACGCCTTTCTGCACAGCGCCGTGCCAGGCAGGTGGCTGTGTCTCGGTCCTTAGATCCCAAAGGGAAAAAGAGGAAGATTTAAGAAGTGGATTGCATCTCCAATCTGCACCACTGCTGCTAGTTTGATTCCAAACAAGGAAAACCGTTTACAGATCCAACAGGTAGAGCTCTCATGCAGGGATGAGAACTTTCTTCCATTTTCTTTTCCCAAATACTCAAAATGACCAAACCAAAAATCTGATTTCTTTATTTTGTTTCTATATCTCATCAATGATATATACAATATAATATATTCATATTGTAATGGAATTTCAACTTAAAGCACCAAATATGGTACAACAGACTAGTCACATGATGTGAAATTTTAATCCAGGTTAAACTCTTAATCACGAATGCTTATTATGTATTTAAGCCCACATAGTCCTTTTTTACAGTGTTCTAATACACTTGTTGCCTGTTTCGGACTATGAGGCTTATAGAAGACTTTTACATTTTTGCAACTCCACACAGATGTGGTATTTTGTCTAATTTGTCTCTTTGAAAAATTTGAGTTACTGACTCCTGTGCTAGAATGACTCAGTCAGTACTGATTTTCCTAAAACTTAATTTCTGTGCATCTCTTTCTATACTTCTACAAAGCACATCAAGTATTACAATAAGGTGAGACCAGGTGTTCAGCAGCTTAGGATGGATATGAGCAGATAGAACCATAAACCAGGAAACCCACTGGTGACTAACACTGGTTTGGTTTTCAGCTGGAATGCTATGACAGGGGACTTTTTTCAGTCAACGCACCATTCTAGATTCAACCCCCAACATGTCTGCAGTTTGTTCAAGCTGCAGGGGAGTGAGAGAGAAAAAGACATCAGAAGATAACAGGAAGGTGGACTGCAGAGGAGGGAAGTCGTCGTTTACAGTTTAATCTATTAATTCTCAGAGTTTTTAAAGCTGCCAACATTTTTAAATCCAGCTTGTTCTGTAACAGGCCTGAGTTTAAGACTGGAAAGCTGTTTATGTGACGCTAGCTGTGCTAATCCCACTGATATCCAACACTAAAGCTACTTTGAAATGGACTCCAATGTTTATGCTTAGTAAAAGTTCTCTAAGACAAAAAATACTAATAATTTCATATTTTTTTGATAAAACCTAAAGTGAAAATAACGATTAAACATTAAAGGACAAATTGATTTAACCTTGTGAATGAAATTCATAATTAAATAGCTGCAGTTCAGACAGGCTGCATATGATCCACTATCTTCCTTTCAGACCAATGAAAAAGAAAGCAAACCGTCCAATTCTCCTCTCAGAAACACCTAGGCAGTGCAACCCCTCCCCTACTTGTTTCTGTGCAGTGTCAGTCAACAAAGAAAAGAGGCCAATTGGAAACAGCAGCTCTTCATGTCTGTAAAGCAGCTGACTGCAGGCTAGCAAAATAAACATCAATAATGAATGAATAACGCCCTCATAAATCAATGCTGCATTATTAGTTTAGACACATCTTTAATCCCACATTTACCCATTTTTATAGAACACACGCAAGACTAGAATAAATCAGCACCTCTGGTTTTACTTTAAGCCTTTAAATGGGTTTGAATCATATAGACTCTTCCCGCCGTCTCCTGTTTTTAACTCAGGCTTTGTGAGATAAATTAACCGCAGCCATCCAGTCGGAGCTTTAGATGCTCCCATTACTCCGGCAGAGCCTCAGCACACATTAAATAAAAGCTCTTTAAGCTGATGAGGTCTCCACACAGCAAATGAAATCATCTTAATATGCAAACTCACGCTCAGTCGTCACAGAGAGCCTGGAAGAAGGGGCCCGGAGACAGCTGGGGGTCCAGCACTCCGACATGCATCGCCGGGTTCCCTCGGCTCACCTCGCCAGCCGCAGCATCGACATGAAGCGTTGGAGGTGAAGTGTGAAATGGTTCTGCTGCAGCTGGAGGCCAAACTCTAGGGACTCATCAGGAGGTTCGGCCTCACACTTGGAAGGATTTGAGTAAATGTAGAGGACGTTTTCCATTTCCCGACTCGGGTTTTTTCACGCTTCCTGGGCGAGTTAAGTAAGAAGTCGGCTGAGGCAGCACTTCGGCACACCTCCCAACAAGTGATAAATATTTAAACTGCACTCTGGTGGGCGCAGAGGTGAACATTCAGCAGTGGTATTACAAGGAGTGAAGCAAGGAGGGGGAAAAGAGACCAGAACAGCCAGGTTTAATTATTTGCAGGTCTGTCCTGGAAAGTTCCCTCTGAGGAAGCGGAACCTGCAACGGATCCCAGCCAGCAAACAGCTTTCAGAGAGAAAACGGCAACACTGAGCTGCAGTAGTTTCAGCCTCAGATGCCAAGAGAAGTCGGGTTTTTCTGACAAAACAAGGTGGAGCGATTTGTGATGGGTGGGCTCTAAACCAGTTTTAAGGACTGTTTTTCACCCAAACATGAAGCTGAACTGTTGGAAAACATGATTATTCTTCCTCTGAACCACCAGGTTTAATAATTGAAAGAATCAAATTATCTTATACGGTCATAAAACGATGAAAAAAAAAAAAAGTAAATGATCAAATGTGCTGCTGATAGGTTAGGTGTTAATGCATGTTTTTAAATTTTATATACAACCTTTTTGTCAGTGGATTTTTTTATACATGGCCTGATTAGAGGGAAACACAACTATGCAGAGTAATAATACTCCCATTCAACAGGTGGCGCTGAGGGAAAAGTAAGAGCTGCAGAAAACAGACCAGACCTGTCCTTTAAATCTAAAGGAAAGCAGAATCCACTTCTTAAGGAAGAAACCACTGAATTAAACAGCAAAAGAAACATGTAGGTTAAAAAATCTTTTCTTATGTATGGCCTATTGTCAAACCAGCACGTTACTGCCACCTATGGGCCTGGAGAGGGAAAATCTACCTACTGTAAATACATAAACAAAAGTCCTGAAACAAACTAAACCAGTAGTGGTAACCAGCAACAGAACTGCATTAAAAATAAACACTGACAGTGTTTAAAATTAGTCAACTTAATAAAAGAAACGTTAAAACAAATAGCCCAGAAACATGAAAGCTTCCCAAGGTGATGGCCTCTTGTTTTCTGTGGCTAAACTAAATCAAACTCTTTCAGGTTTCCTGAATTGAAGCAACTTTATATATATA